TAACAGAAATCTTATAAACAGTAACTTAAATACCTAAGGATATGTTTTTTGTTTTGTTTTGTTTTCACACAAGATGACTAGAGATAGATAGCTGCTGGTTTTGGTTGAGCAGTCAAGTGTCTCTGAAATGTTTGTCTTTCCCTCATGGATGAAAGATGGATTTTTTCACTCCATTTATTCCATCTACTTTCATGGAAGAAGTGGGAAGGGACAGTTCCCTGTATTTGTCCCTTTTATCAAGAAATTCAAAGCATTATCAGGAACCACCTACATATTTCCACCTTTATCCATTTGCCCAGAATTGTGCACCTGGCCACCTCCAGCTTCAAGGGTGTTGAGGAAGTGAGCCCTGCAATGGAAGCAGGTATGGAAGAGGGTTTTGGGAATGAATGTTGGGTAAGCCAGTTATTAGTGTCTACCATAGATGCCACTAACAGAGGCATGTTTTATTTACAAAGTATGGGGAAATTTTTAAACAGTGAAAAATTCTTATGGTAAAAAAAAAAAAAGTTACTATTGACTTCTGCCTCGGTAAGCATGGGCTGTATACTACTCTCCTCATAGGGTCCACCAGGAATATCAGTGTCATTGGATCTCTGTGGCCAGATGCCCTGAATAGCAGGTAAGCCTGCTCTGCAGCCTAGACCTGATGCAAAGTCCATTCTTGTTCTGTGCCCTGCTCAAAGCTGACAGTCTTCTGAATCCCTTGATCAGAACATTATTCACAAGTGCAGTATATTACTATTCCACTTATGTGGGAAGTGATTCTGGAGGCCAGGAGTGAGGAATGGATAAATGAGATAGGAAAAGAAGAAAAGCAAATGCAAACATGGATTATTGAGTTCGCCACTGCTACAGGTGATTGATTGATGTTTGATTCCATGGGACCACCTGAAGAGCCTTACACGATGTGTCTCATAAGTGCCTGCTTCCTGGAAAATGAAAGGGTGGAGCACTTATCCACAGGCTCCTGTTCTCTCACACTACTGGGTTGTGTGTACCTGTGTGCTGAGCAGTTTCCTGTGCCTGTATCCTGTCTTGGGGGCAGTGCATGGCCCAGGTGGCACTCATGCAATGCTGGTCAAAGCCCAAGTTTGATAGGGGCACTGCAGTGGCTCCAGTAAAGAAGGAGGCCCAGAGAATTTGCAAAGAGGTAGAAGTGGCAGGGAAGGAAGGATATCTTCTGAATCTCTTCAGAAGAGGTGTATTTCCTAATGATGAAGGAAATATTTCAAGGCTTTCCAATACCTATAGGTAATTACCAGAGACATTTAAAAATATATGTTCTGGCCCTGGCTGGTGTAGCTCAGTGGATTGAGCGCAGGCCTGAGAACCAAAGCATCCTGGGTTTGATTCCCAGTCAGGGTACATGCCTGGGTTGCAGGCCATATCCCCAGCATGGGGTGTGCTAGAGGCACCCACACATTGATGTTTCACTCCCTCTCTTTCTCCCTCCCTTCCTCATCTCTCTAAAATAAATAAATAAAATCTTTAAAAAAATATATGTTCTTATCAACAGTACTTCTTTATTTAAATAGTCTTTCCAGGGGTGTCTTTTCCAATTGGCCATCTAGTTTTATTAAAACAGAAGTACAACATTAGAGCAACATACTGGAGTATAGCATGCAAGTCTCATGGCATGCTGACTACCTTTCAGTTCCATCCCAGAGAGTAAAAGCATGACCAGTCTTTTGTTTTTGTCAAAATTAGAAATCTGTATTTCTAATTATAGAAATTAGTGCTATATTTGACTTTTCCTTAACTCAGCAAGTACGTACTGTGTGCATCCACTGGGCACTAGGCATAAGCTTGGTGCCCAGGAGACAAAGATGAACATACTGTGGTCTCTCATCTTGAGGAGCTTGCAGTCAACGAGCAAAGAAAGGCATGAAGGGATGGCGAGACTGATTTCATAGCCCCTTGTGGGAAAAACAACTTCTATTTGTAATGGAATATGCAGTTTTCTTTAATAAAGCAGTACCTAAACCCTCCAAAATTTGTAATGGAAGAATTGCCACTCAGGGAGGAGGTGGCTGGACTTTCCTCTTGTTCTGCCAGATTTCCCCCAGTCCTGGCGGTCACTGCAACCCTCAATCTTAATGTTGATTAACTTACTTGCTATAGAGTTCCCTACACATTCATTCCTATAGTTTGACCGAGACCCAGGCTGGAATATTTATTAAGAACTCAATCAAGGTTTAGGGATAAGGGGACAAAAGGGTGGCAGTGAAAAATGCATCTTACATAGTTTCTATTTCAAATGCCCTGGGTCAGTACTATCTCTCCTATGGTTACTACTTTCTCATGGTTAGTACTCCTGTGATTAGTCCTCTAGTAACATAAAAGTACCTCCATTGGGTCTACCTCCTCACAATTCAGACCCCAAGGAGCAAGGCCTGGAAAAAGATGGTGGAGGGAAATTTCAGATTATTTTAGTAGCCCACTTGCTGAAATAGGAAGGTTCTGTGACACTATTAAATGGAAAATAAAGTTTTAAAGCCACATTCCTTCATTCATTCAACACATATTTATGGAGTACCTATGATGGGGCAAGCATTGCTACATGCTGGGAGTCTAGTGGTGAGTCCAACACAGGTCCTTGTTAGGTAGAGTTAACAAACATGAATTCAGTATGATCTCATTAATTATAACATGTACATTTCTGTATTCCTTTGAATATGTGTTCTACTGTGTTCTTAGTGTCCTACTTAGGTCTGCCTTCCCAGATGACTTGTTTATTTAATGAACACTTTGTGTGAGGCTTAGTAAGTACCAGCACTGTGCTAAGCACTTCAAATATTAACTCATTTCAGCTTTATAACAACCTTATGAGGTAGGTACTTTTATTACTACCACCCATATTTCACAGATGAACAAACTGGCACATAAGGAGGTTAGTAACTTGTCCAAGTTTACAGTTAGTAAGAAGCAGAGCTAGGATATGACCCCAAACAGTTCAGCCCCCCAAATTAAAGCTTCTTTACACCTACTGTAAACTCCTGATCTCCTATCTCCCATCCTTAGGGGTGGGGGCCAAACTCCATGGTCTTAACCCATAGCCTCAAGCATCCAGTGTGATGCTCACAGACACAAACACACCCTGTCCTTGAGAGCCTGGACATGGGCCTGAGAACACAGCAGCAGCAGCAGCACAGCTATTTTGGTCAGTGTGTTACGTTTATTTATTAGTGTTTTACAGGAAAAAGTCATAGATATAAAATCATTAAAACAGAGAAAATGGGCAAAGGAGTGGAAGTAGATTTGGAAGTTGGGGGAGATAGATGTTATTTACATTAGAAAACCTAGGCTGAGGGAAAAGTCCTGCAAATCAGCCCCAAACTGAGCTCTGGGGTTCTGGAAACCAAGGCAGAAAGGGATATAGAGAGTTACATGGCTTTTGTTGCCTGATTGAAGGAACATCCTTGACGGTGACAAGAGCCCTAGCTGCACAATCTTTTGGTTTCTGGGTCTAGCTGCTGTGTTTTCTTTGCCTTATGGGACTTCCCAGTAACTTTATATTAATGAGCTATTGTATTTTAACTGTAGCATTGTGCTTTGGTGAGTATGCTGGGCTTTTCTTTTGTTTTGATCTCACTCATCCCCCTGCCCCCCAATATTTCATTGCTCTGCTATGTCACTTGAAATTGTATTTCAGTGTGCCAGGCAGTTGGATAACAATAGTTATCAAATTTAGCAAGTGCTATGTACAGAACACAGGTGGAAATTTGTGGAGGAGAATTTATGGAATACAAGATTCTTGCCTCTAAAGATGCTATAAGCATATAACCCAACTGGGAGAGTGAGCATGCCCCTGTGAAGGACTCAAACAATAGTTTTTAAAAGAAATATACCACAAGTGAAAATTAGTATTGGGTGACTCCAGAGCATCCTGGGAGCATGGATCAGGCAGTGGGGAGAGGGGTGGTCCATCGTGGTAGACTTTCTCCGGAAGTTGGATTTTGCTCCTGATTTAAAATAAGGGTCTTGGACTGGCAAGGTAAAGAGTGTTCCAGAGCTAGGCATGAAAGCCAGAATCAGTACAGCAAGTGTAGGGAAGGGAAAAAGACAGGTAGATGGCTTTGAAGAATGATACCAAGAAAAAACAAAAGAAAAAAGACTCTGCCCTGGCTTCCTTGGAGAACTTCATCAGGAAGAGGCTGATGTGGAGGCGCAACCCCTTTTGTGCAAAAGACACGTTTTTTGAAAATTTAAAACAGTGGTTTAAAGCTATTGAGCATCTATCGTGTGCCAGGCAGGAGCTTTAATGTTCCTATCTACTCTGTAAACTGGGCATTATTATTCCCGATTTGCATACAAGGAAACGGACTCAGAAGGGAGGTTAAATAACTTACATGTCCAATGTCATCCACCTATTATAGGATGGAGCCCTGAGTGCCAGTTGGTCTGCCCCGAGGCCCAAGCTTTTGTGTGCTACACACATTTTCATAAGTCAAGTATTTAAGATACATCCTGGGTGATTATTTGAATAAGTCCTTTAGTCATTTCCTTTGTGAAGTACATCTCTCCATTTGGGGGGGCCCGGGCAATGGTCTGAGGTAGAAGGTAGGGATTTTCTTGACTGCATGCTCGATGACCGTTTATTTTATCAAAGAGACATCGCTTTGGCCCACTTGACACCAGATAATGACACCGAAAAAATATCTTTAATTCGATTTTCAGGCCACTCTGTCCATTAATCAGATAATCGCACAAAGCACGTCACCGCCAAACCAGTCTATCTAGGAGATAACTCAAGTTTCCCAACACGTCCATGCTGTGGCGACCGGGAAAAGTATAACTTGTGTTCATACTAAACTGACAGCTGTTCAGGCACTGAAAGGAGAGCTGTCTGAGAGACTATAACAAGTTCCGCTAGGAGAGAACTAGGTGGCCGCCGGGGACAGCGGCCTGGAGGCAGAGCAGTCCGGGACCCGCGCCCCCCGCCCCCCGCCCCCCGGGTGTGGCTGGGGCGCCAGGGTGTGCGCATGCGCGCGGGGCCGCGGCTGCTACGCCGACGACACCGCCTCTTCCGCGGACACCCGCACGGTTACCCCGGCTCTCCGCCCCTCCTCGCAGCGGCGCTCCAGGGATCATGGCCGATCCCCGCGTGAGGCAAATCAAGATCAAAACCGGCGTGGTGAAGCGGTAAGGAGCCTCGAACGGCGCAGCCGCCAGCTCCTCCTCTCCCTCGCTTTCGTGGCGGCCCGAGAGGCCGGGCGGAGCGCAGGCCCGTGGCGTGCGTGGGACTCCAGGCCGCACCCAGAGCTCCGCGGCCGGCGGAGGCAGGGCAGGGACGCCGCGGGGCGCGCCGGTGCCCGAGCGCGGGGCCGGGGCACGTCTCTCCCGTTGCCTCTGCGCTCGAAATGCCAATCGTGGAGCCGCAAGGGTCGACGGCAGCCCCTGCTCCCCAGCGTCCGCGGTGTGGGAGCTGGAGGGGCGGCGGCCGCGGTCGGGAGGCCGGGCCGGGCTTTGGTGATACCTGCTGTGTGTGCGCGCGCCCCTCATCTCCCCGCCAACCGGACTGGAGGAAGGCGGCCTGGCGGGGGGGGGGGGGGGCTCGCGAGTCGGTCGGAAGTTTCGGGGGGACGCCGAGAGCCCGGCCCTCATCAAAAAAATGGGACCCTGTTCTTGCCGGGTGATCTAATGTGGTAGGCGGGACTCGCACTCGTGAGAACTGGGGCGTGAACTTCCAGCACTCTCGCCAAACTCCTGTGGCCTAACTCTCCCCACTCTGCTTCCCGACGCTCGCCCCAGGCGCGGTGGGATGCTGTTTAAATAACTGCCCTCCGGAGCCGGGCCCTGTAATCGCCCCTTAATTCCTGACTGCTGTTAGACACTTCAGTGCTTGTTAGAACTTCAGACGCAAGGTCAAACTTTTTGCTGAAGAGTTCGGGGAGAAAAGTTAAACAGGCTTATGAAGAAGCGGGTTATTTTCAGTAGAAATGACTCATCCTAGCCAGCTGGCTTTTTCATCTTTGCTCACCTTTAGACCCCCTTTTAACATACTGTGTGAAGGACAAGGCAAAGAAGAGAATACATTCACTTTTTTAGGTATTGCCCCAGAGGGGCAATAGCGTTGCATCGTGCTTTCCTAGAAGCTTTCAGTATTATGAAGGCAGGAAGGAAAATGGTATGAGGAGTAGTTAAATGAATGCACAATCTCTTCTGAAGTGAGACTGCTTGGGTTCAAATCTTAATTCTTTCATTTATTATGTGCTTTTGAATATACTACTTTGCACCATTTTTTCAGAAATGGAGAAAGTATTCACCTCCTGCAGATGTTGCAAGAAGTGCCTGCTATGCATAATCTGCATACTGTTTAACATAGTATGTGGCCAATAGCAAGTGGCTAGTAAATGTTAACTAATAATATTGTTTGTTTTCCCCTTTTACGGATGAGAAACTGAGGTTTAATGACGTTAAAATAGAAGAGTCAAATTGACAAAAGAAAACTGTACTTGAAAAATAACTCAATAAATTAAAAAAAATAAAATAGAAGAGTCAAACTTGTCTAAGGCGACAGTACTAGTTAATGGCAGAGCAAGGGAAAGCAAGGTTTCTGATATACAACTTTCTATTTTAAATACAATGTTTTAAAAAAGAGTATGCCTGGGTTGCAGGCCAGTTCCCATCCGGGGACTCAGAAGAGGCAACCATATATTGATGTTTCTCTCCCTCTCTCCTTCCCTTCCCCTCTAAAGATAAATAAAATCTTTTTTAAAAAGAGTATTTAAAAATGTATGATAATAGGAGAATTGAGACATATAAATTATTTTTTTAAATTACTTACAGTTTGAAATATGTAATTGAAAATGTAAATAATTTGCACTGCTACTCACCCCAGAGTTCTGTTTGTTCACTTTGGTAGGCTTTGGTTATTTCATCTTAGTAAGTCTGTTTAGTATAATTACCTGGGTATAATGAGAAATGATTTTTAATGGTAGATTTTCATTAACTACCTTCATGACCTGTCATTTCTTATCCTAATGATCTATACTAGTATATGAAATTACTCAGTTCAAGCAGTTTTGTGCTTAGAATACATATTCTAGAGAAAACAATCTCATTTAGATAATTAATAAGCCCATATTTTAGGCTTTCAAAAACTCCAGGTACTCTGGAAACTGCTTGGAAATAAAGTTTAGCTTTCAGCTTATTTCAGTAATTATCAAATTTTAATTTAGTAAGTTTAGTCATTTTTGTGAAACCCTTATAATTTACTGTATCTCAGATTATTTATAAATTAATGGAAATGTCTAGCATACATTTTTTCATGACTTTTCTGTGACATTTTGGTGTAGAATTTCCCATATGTACTAAAATTAGATTATTTTTAAGCCTAAAAGATCTATTTTAGCTGTTTATTACACATATTTTGCTTTGGTAGATAACCATCTAAATCTGAAAATATTGTTTCTCTTTCTCTCATTCTGTCTTGGATTTTTCTCCTGAAATTTATTTGAACTTCTTTCATCTTCTGCCTTAGTATCCTATTTTAAAAATTCTCCATTTTACCTCGGCAAAGAAAAAAGTAGATGAGGCAGATATAGCAACATATTAATGATTGCTGGAGCTGCATGATCATGGGCTTCATTATAGTGTCTATACTTTTAAAATTTTTCATAATAAAAGGTTTTTAAAGGTATGTATTTTTCTCCCCTCTCCAAATTTAGTTTCAAAGACTTCTTGATTGGTTTCATGATTTAGATGGGCTCTTGGTTTTGTGAACAGGATTCTGTTCATTGGTTTCTTAAAGCAGTGGTCTAAAATCCAATTTCTGTTTGCATCACCTTTTTTTTTTTTCTCATCAAATGCTCATTTCCCATAGTCCCATTTCTCTTCAGAAGTCACAACTTTTATTTGGAAGAAGAGATTTAAACTCACCATTCACACCCCTAACTCCTTCCATTTTCTTTTGGAATTGAGAGCCACTAGAAATATATTCTAGGTGTTCTATACTAGGGTAGTCTATACATAAGGGAGGGGGCATTCTTAGAGTTTAGTGTCTAATTAAATCTGCTAGAATCCTTCAGGTGATCCAGAAGTGCCCTTGAGTGTGTTTTAGGAGGAAATCTGGGCAGGCAGGTGGAATGTTACAGGAGTATGGGAACAGGCAATAGATAGATGGTGGTTTGGCATTAGGGAGCCCAAACAATGCCTGGAAGATGCGCGTTTCAGCATGTTGGCAAAATAGTGAAGGCAGTCTAGGGAATGGCAGCCATGTTGGAAATGGAAGTAGACATAAATGTCAAGGGCATTATTTTAGGCCCTAGTCCTGAAGAAACTGTGTTACCATGCATGGTAACATAGCACAGTATCTGGTTTTTGAAAATGAATTTTAAGAGAGACTGGATTCCTGGGAGCAAGGAAAGGGTACAATTACTAGGAATGGCTTGTAAAGTAAGAGTTGGACAGGAATGAATCTTTGTCCAGAGTCTCTGACTCCTAGGATTCCTTAAATATCCTTTTGCCAGCAACAGGACTGTTTTTCAGGACGAATTCTGGCTGTGAAACTTGAGAGATGTGTGCACTGCAGGCTGGATGGGTAGTTATGCTAAATTTCTTACAGCAGCAGCTTTGTTCACATGTGACTCACTGTTACTGGGTATTAGTTGGTAGGTTTGGCTCTGGCAGACTTTTTTAATGCTTTTTTAAAATATATTTTTTTATTTTATTGATTATGCCATTACATTTGTTCTATTCCCCCCCCCCCGTTTCCCTCCACCCTGCACACCCCTCCCCCACCATTTCCCCTCCTTTAGTTCATGAACATGTGTCTAAAGTTCTTTAGATTCTATATTTCCCCTACTATTCTTACCCTCCCCCCTATCCCTTTTCTATCTACTGTCTGTGCTACTTATTTTCTGTACGTTCTCCCCCCTTCTCCTTTTCCCACTCCCCTGTTGCTAACCCTCCATGTGATCTTCATTTCTATGGTTCACTCCTGATCTAGCTGTCCTCTTAATTTGCTTTTGTTTTAGGTGTGGTTGTTGATAACTGTGAGTTTGCTGTCCTTTCACTGTTCATCTTTTTTATCTTCTTTTTCTTAGGTAAGTCCCTTTAACATTTCATGTAATAAGGGCTTGGTTGATAATGAACTCCTTGAACTTGATCATATCTGAGAAGCGCTTTAACTGTCCTTCCATTTTAAATGAAAGCTTTGCTGGATAGAGCAATCTTGGATGTAGGTCTTTGGATTTCATGACTTGGAATACTTCTTTCCAGCCCCTTCTTGCCTGTGAGGTCTCTTTTGGGAAATCCGTTGACAGTCTGATGGGAAGTCCTTTGTAGGTGACTGTCCCCTTATTTCTTGCTGCATCTAGGATATCTAGGATTCTCTCCTCTATTTTAATCTTGGCTAATGTAATGATGATGTGCCTTGGTGTGTTCCTTCTTGGGTCCAACTTCTTTGGGACTCTCTTAGCTTCCTGGATTTCCTGGAAGTCTATTTCCTTTGCCAGAATGGTGAAGTTCTCTTTTATTATTTGTTCAGAGAAGTTTTCCACTCATGGCTGTTCCTCTTCCCCTTCTGGTACCCCTATAATTCGGATGTTGGAGCGTTTAAAGATGTCCTGGAGGTTCCTTAGCCTCTCCTCATTTTTTTGAATTCTTGTTTCTTCATATTTTTCTGTTTGGTCTTTTTTTTTTACCTTTTGGTCCGCTCCCTTGATTTGAGTCCCAGTTCCTTTCCATTACTATTGGTTTCCTGTGCATTTCCATTCACTTCAATTAGTTTAGCCTTCATATGTTCCTCTAATTTGTGACTAAAATTGACCAGCTCTGTGAGCATCCTGATCACCAGTGTTTTGAACTGTGCATCTGAAAGTGTGGCTATTTCTTCATCACTTAGATTTATTGGCTCTGGGGCTCTGAGTTGTTCTTGAGCCATGTTTTGATCTGTTTGTGCCTGTTACGTATGAGGAGAGGCGTCTTAGGTGTTCACCAGGGCGGAGCCACCCAGGTTGCTGGTTTGTGACACTGCATATGGGGGTGGGGTTAGAGAGGGAGCAATGGCGCTCCTCTCTGCTCGCCCCCACCTGTTTATCTGAGCACAAATGTGTGAGCCCGCCACCCTGCGCCCAGGGGTCTCAATGCTCGCCTCTTCACTGGTTTATCTGCGTGCAAATGTGCGACCAACTGCAGAC